TTTGCAGTTTTTTAGTGGTTCAAGTCTAATGGACTACAAAGGCAAACCCATGGAACCCAAATATGAATGTCTCCTCTTCGGTGAGTTTCGCACAAAGTCTAACCATTAGTCAGGTCGACCTATTATACTTTTTTGTTATAAAAAATGCGTATTTATGTTATGAATTGTCGTACTTTTGTTTATGTTGTTTTGTCTGAGTATGAGATGACATTTCAATTGAAAAAAAAAAATGGTTTTAGCCGAATATCTTGAATGTCAATCAATCCTAACTTTTTTCGGAGTTTTCAGATGTTGATGATACCCTTTATCCCCTGAGTTCTGGCATATCAGCAGAATGCACCAAGAACATTATAGGTATCAATATCATCATTGGCATTATATTGAATTTCATCACTGTTGTATTATTTTTCTTTCGACTTTTGTGGATTAGTTGAAAATCGTACATGTTAAATTTATAGAATATATGATCAATAAGCTTGGCATTGAGGAGGAGAAAGTCCCTGAGATGAACGCGCAGCTGTACAAGGAATACGGCACGACTATGGCCGGTCTTCGGGTACATAGTTTCTCCCTATTGTGTGCTTTTGCTTTAGATATAATCGTGACTTTGAAAAAATTAAAAGTCACAAATTAGTCCGAAAATGAATCGATCGCGCGTCTTTTGACAAAGTCTAGCCTGCTCGATTTTATTTTCTTTCTTTCAGGCTCTCGGGTATGACTTTGACTACGATGATTACCATAGGTAACAATCAACAAAGCAAGAATTATTCTTTTACTCCATTCCTTTTACCTATTCTTTTCTTGTCTTACATTGAAATGATAATGTTCAAAAAGGCCAAGGTGAATCTTAAGGAACAGGAGATTATATCATAAGATACAATTTCAAGTAATTATGTTTGAATAATAATGTTCTTAATTTGCATGTTTGTGTGCTTCATGTAGCTTTGTGCACGGTAGATTGCCTTACGATTGGTTGAAGCCCGATCACACTCTAAGAAACCTTCTCCATAGCCTCCCCTTACGTAAAGTCGTAAGTTTTAGTCTCCCTTTTATTGTTTTTTCATCTACATTTTAAGTTTTGGTTTGTCCCTTTTGTTGAAAACTTAAAGGTGTCCGTTCGGTTTGTTTGAAAAAAAAAAAAAAAACAGATCTTCTCAAATGGAAACGAAGCCCACGTGGCTAAAGTTCTGAGTAGGCTCGGGATAGAGGATTGCTTTGACGACATCATTTGTTTCGAGACTTTGAATCCGTCACACACCAACAATCTGCTCGAAAATGGTGGTGAGAGTTGGAATAATAAGTCGAAAATTTAAGAGCACTGTATATAAATACTAAATAAAGACTTCTTTCGTGATTCTTCTCTGTTTTGGTTACAGAAACCCACGAGTCCCCGATAATATGTAAGCCTTTTGAGTACTCATTCGAACAAGCATTCAAAATTGCGGAGATTAACCCGCGGAAAACGGTGAGACTTGTGAAAAATCGATTGAGCGAGTCCATTGTTATCCCATCCACAGTTAATTTAGTTAATTTCTTAAATTTTTATTTTCCTCAGCTGTTTTTCGACGACTCGATCCGCAATCTACAGGCTGCAAATAGTGTAGGCCTCAAAACTGTTTGGGTAAGTTGCCGATTTTGTCCCTAAAATCTATAGTCACGGCAAATGTTCTCAGAAAAAAAAAAAAAAAAAATGTGCTCAAAGTTGCTCGATTTTTGCTTTACGTGAAAACAGGTGGGCTCGTCTCATAGGACAAAAGGTGTCGATTATGCGTTGGAGAGCATTCACAATATAAAGGAGGCATTGCCCGAGCTGTGGGAAGCTTTGGAGAAATCGGATGTTCGTTACTCGAGTGAGACTGCGATCGAGACCTATGTGAGGGCTTAGTTATGTCTTAACTGTGTTAACTGAATGTGTTTAACTCCTTTTATGTATGATGATCACTAATAAAGATAAAGTCTACTTTGGCTTGCATTTCTCATCTTTTCCTTCTCTTGGGTTTTGCTATGACCGAAACTTATGAATGCTTAAAGCAAATGTAATTGAAAGCAAATGTAATCAATCAGTAACAGTAACGATTTTGAAAATAGATACAGTTGGAAGATCTAAGCAAATAGAAAAGGAACTGAAGAGGAACTAAAAAAAAGAACCTTCTAGAATCAATAATGGCAGTGAATTAATGTTGGAGAGTTAGCCGAGGACAAAACCAACTTGTCCGAACCTTGTTGTTCCCTTGCGACGAATCTAAACCGTTGATTTTCATCCTCCGGAGCCGGTTGATTGAGATCCAATGGTGGCCCATTCCCCTGCCTCTTCCCTTCCTCGGGACCCCGGCCTGCAGGCCCGGCCCAGTGCCGCCTCATGTGGCCTCCGAGGGCCTGGCCTGAAGCGAACTCAGCTCCGCAGCACGAGCACTCGTGAACCCTCGGAAAAGATAGCATCTTTGGGCCCGGGCCTGGGCCCGGCCCTACGACATTGGCCAAGTGAAGAGAGCTCGGCTGCAACATTCTTCTCTTGGACGCCGGCACAAAATCCTCCTTGTCAGGAGGAACTGCCGCGGGCTTCCTAGGCTCATTTTTGGGCTTTTTGTGGCTGGCCCGGTGGCCTCCGAGGGCTTGGAAGGACGTGAAGGCCCGGTTGCACGTCTTGCAAGCGTACATGCACGAGGTGCTCGGATGCTTGTTTGAGGTGGGGAAATGGCTACGGGCCAAGAAGATCAAGCACCGGGCCGTGTCCTCTTCCTCCGTGGTGGTGCTCCCATTAGAGGAGGCCGGGCTCGAGCCCGGGCCTGGGCCCGGCGCGTGATCTCGTGAGGGTTCGAGGGGGAATGACGGGGTCGGGGAATGGGGCCGTTGTCTCTTTGTGCGCTTGCCTTTGGCGATATTGGGGGAGAGGCAGTTAGAGCCCCGGCAAGGCGGTGGGGCCGCGGCTGCTACTTCCTCCTCCGTGGTGTTAGTGGTCATGGTTGCCCGCCGGCAGCATCACCGTGGGCAGTTGGGTAGGATGGTTTGTTGTGGCTTTCACTATCTAGAAAGAGAGACTAATAATGGGGAGAGAGAAGGTGGAAGAGAGGTGGAGGTTAGATAGAAGGGAGGGACACTAGTTGTGTGGGGTGGTGATTGTATGCATAATATAGGAGTGAATGCAAACAATTCTATTCTTAGGGATGTTTGCATATAAAACAGCTCATTCATATTCAAATTATACTCAAATCTTACCCCACTTTTAACACATCACTATTTTAAATATTATATATAATATCAATCAATAATTCATACACATCACATCATATCTGTATTTATATATTTTTTTTTGTTTTATGAATAATAGCAAACAACGGTACCAATGAAGAATGGTGATGAACGGTTTGATTATACGACAAATACGAGCTCCGAGCACGATACACAAACAAAACTCAGGCGAATAATTCAAATAAATAAACAAAGTTGAGACACACGAAACACACTCTGTGTAAGACGCAATTGCCACCAATTAATGTCCGCTTTTGGCAAATGTGATCTTCAATATATACCAACTTTTACCTTGTGTATAGTAGCATTTTGTGTACACAATTGGCAAAACTAATGTTTGGACTTCTCAATAAATGAACGAAAAATATGAACACAAAATTGTTATAAATTCTTATGTTATATAATAGACATATGTATGCGTTTGTGTTTAATGTATTAAGTGTCTATAAAAGATATCATTCTAGGGGTATTTATAGGTGTTCGAAGATCCACTTGGAGTTTTGAGCCAATTGGATGGGAATTAAGGGTGAACAAAATTTGGTTAACCGAGCTGAACCAACTAAAACAAAAAATTTAGTTTGGACCGAAATCGAAACATAATATTTTGTATGCTTTTCAGTTTATATTTTCTTAAATTTTCGGTTAGAGAAGCATTAATTTGCTTCAATGATTTATGATTTTCGAACATTAATGGTCCCTAAAATGGCTCAAGAATTAATTTGCAGTCAAGATTTGCTTGGTCATAGTCCAAGTCATTGTTCGAGTCAGAGATCTTCCTTAGAGAAGAATATAAAATTTATTGAGAAGAATAAACGAGGTGATGGAAAATTAATTTTTGGTTCCGATAAAAAATTTTTGGTTCGGTTAAAAATTCAAAAGTTATTGAGAAGATTAATTATTTATTGCGATTAATCGATAGTCGAACTAAACCGACACCACTAGATTTTTGACTAAAAACTGAACTGAATCATAAATTTTGATTCAATTTTCGGTTCTTGTAATAAACTGAAATTTCAATTGATCCAATTTAGTTCGGTTTGGATCGAATGAACAACTCTAATAGAAACAGACAAGGTGCGATAAGGGTCGTGCCCGCGACGTGCTACGTGCCCTAGTCGCGGCCAAAGAACAAGTGTCATCGCTCCACTACATGAACCCAGTAATTTGTGAACGTTGCTCTCTAACAGTCATCCCTCTAAAACGAGCCCATTTTCTGCACGACTCCACAAGCTCGCTATGACTTTATCCATCTTTTGCGCTACAAAACTAATCTATTTCCA